AACACTCTTATTTTCTTTTTAAAGTCTAGCTATTTTGGTAGATATGGAGTGATATTTTACTCTTATCTTTTAAAAACTTCTCTTGATAACTAATGATGTTGAGCCCGTTTTACCATCTGATGTGCCTGACCAGGTCTTTCCCTTATTCACTAGGGAATTTTTGTGATGAATTTTGTTGCCTGTTTTAACTTTGTAAGTTGAGACTGAGATGTTAAGTACTTGGATTACTTTGCACATACCACTTTATGTAGTTTTGGAAAGTTATAACACATTTTTAGAAAGAATTCCATTAAACGTGTTTACAAATTTTAATCATTCTGTATTTCAAGAGTTGAGTGTAAGGCTTGTCTCCACCCTTTGCCTACTGCTAGTTTTAGGAACACAAATCGAGGCTTAGCTTTGGAGATCTGACGCTCCTTATTCATTCTGAAGCCGATCTCTTCAAGTCTAGCTAATGACATTGCCATTCCCCAAAGTCACTGGCCTTTTCTTCGTTCATGTTCTTTCAAAACCGTCCTTTGTGTTTCATCTTCTACAGTCCATTGCATCTAGTTCAAAGATCTTGATATTAGTGATACTTTAACAGTAACTTTTTCTCCTTTTTCCTACTAGTGAATGTTCCCATATCATGTATCTACTTGCTGCTCTTTTCATTTTGTTGAAAACATACATTTTCTTACTGTTTCAGCTCTTAGTGCAAAACCTTAAACTCATTTCTCATCTTTTCTTTGCTCACTCTCTCTCCCATCATGCCCCTTTTTCAGAGAGTTAACCATCTTCTCTGCTGACTAAGCCACTTTTTTAGTGTCCTTAATTCTATTAATGGACTTGTTATTCTCTTAGTCACCTGGGTTTAAAATTTGAAGTTATCTTTAATTGCAAGGTACAGTTGATAGAAAAACCAATGATCATTCATTATACAAGATCTGTCCGGAAAAAGCCCAGCCATTGTTAATATAACGGGAACAGTTTGTGCAACATCAGTGTAACCTGGCAGCCAAGGAGAATGGACAGGAATGCGCATGTGAACAATGATGATTTCACTGTCCTAGTCAGTGGGGGCGGCAGATGCCCTTCAGTGAGCATGTGTACTGGGTGGCCGTCGCATTCAAAATGACTGAGTAGAACAACGAATGGGCATCAAGCTTAATTTTGGGTTAAGCTTGAACATTCCTCTGTGCAAACTATTTGGATGATTCAGGAGGGCACAGCAATGGGCAACTGGTGATTGGCAGCTTCACTGTGACAACGCATCTGCTCATGCATCACCTGTTGAGCAGAGTTTTTTGGGGAAACATCAAATAACCCAGGTGACTCAGTCCCCTTACAGCTCAGATTTGGTGCCCTGTGACCTCTGGCTTTTCCCAAAACTAAAATCACCTTTGAAAGGGAAGAGATTTCAGACCGTCGATAAGATTCAGGACAATATGGGGCAGCTGATGGCGACTGGGAGAACTGTGTGAGGTCCCAAGGTGCCTACTTTGAAGGGGACTGAGGCGTCATTGTCCTGTGTACAATGTTCTTGTATCTTCTTTAATAAATATCTCTATTTTTCTTATTACATGGCTGGATACCTTCTGGACACACCTCATATATTCCCCTAGTCTGTGGTATGGAACATGGCATAGTGCCAGGTGCTGAAGACTTCTTCCTGGGAGGATCTTGTTCTCTGTTTGGGAAGTTAACGGACATTTTTATCATTCAAGATATTATTAATTATAATAAATACAGAAATGGTCATAGCCTCGTTAGGATGGGTTAGTAGAGGAATTCTTCACAGAAGGGGTGGATTTGAGCTTATCATTGAGGGTGACTGAGGTTCCTGCGGGAAGACACAGACGGGCGGAGGCGCAGGGTTTGGGCGAGATCAGAAAGTGTGCGCAGTGGTGCGGTGACCATGACGGGTGGATTGGGGCTGGATCCAACAGTCTCGGAAGTCTCAGCTCTTCTTCCTTTAAATCCTCCTTTTTTCAGCACGTCAGTGACTTAGGAACCATTGTATCTACTTTGCAGAAAAGTTAATAGGCTTAGAAAGAGTGAAACCTGGTCGGGGTGATATACCTAGTAAAGGGCAGCATCTGATCTTGTTCTTATAATACTACCTTTTAAAAATTAAAAATAGTAAATTTTTTCAGTTATAAAATATTTAAACATATACAAAAGTAGAGAAAATAGTATCTTATGATTTGCCAAAGTTTATTCAAATCTAGTTTGGAAAGAAACACAGGTAAATCGTTTCTGTTCTTTCCTCATCCCTGTTTTCTCTTTTCATCAGAGGCGGCCCAGCCAGGGGACACTGGTGTTGGTGCGGGTCATTCCATGTAGCCATTTATGCTGTTCCTGTATCTGTGTTTACCCATAAGTAAGGTGTTTTTTTTTTATTTTAAATTTTATACAGTTCTTATAAAAGGCATTTATATTTTTGCAAATTGTTTTTTTTCTCATTTATTTAATGAATAGACACTGTTCTAGGTGCAGCGTACATGACAGTGGATAAGGAAAATGAGGCTACCTGCCTACTAACATTTTAGGGGGGAAGACATGAAGTAATAAATAAAATTGATAATGTAATACCAGGTCAGGGTAAATTCCATGAACGAAAGTTGAGGAGGACCAAAGAGCAGAGAGCGATGTGGGAGTGGGATGTATTTTAAATGAAGTGTTCAGGGAAGTCCTTTTTCAGGAGGTGACGTTTGTGGCAGTTAAATTAATTGAGAGAGTAAGTCATGCTGTGGGAAAAGAAAATGCCAGGGGAGGGAACATCAAGTGCAAAGGCCTTGAGGTAGAAATGACCTTGGAGCACTTGAGAAATGGAAAAGTCAATCATGGTTGAGTGCAAAGTTAGGGAGAGAATGGTCAGAAATGAGTTTGCAGGAGAAGCCAAAGGCCAGATCAGATAGGTCTTACAAAGTAATGTTAGGAAATTTGGATATTGAGTGTCATAGGAAACTACTGGATGATTTTGGAGCAGCAGAATGATATGGTTTGATATACTTTTAAGATTACTTTTACACTGGAATTCTGTGACTAAATGTGGAAACTCTTTCTATACTGATATGGAAAGATCTTGAAGATACACTGTTTATACTTTTTTCTGTACCTGGCTTTTTTTCTTTTTAGTACATAATGTGGTTATTATTTAATAATGATGATGATGATAATGCTAATGATGATACTAGATTAGTAGTTAACATTTATTAAGCATTTGGTAGTGGTTAACTGCTAATCTAATGCCTGGTCTATAAGCTCCTCTCCTTTTGTCCCCCGCTTTCCCAGCACGTCTATCCATTGCTCCTGTTGCTTTCAGACGCGCATGCATGCCCCGTCTAACCTCCGTTATATCCCGGTGTTAGAGAGAGACCTCAGCCGCCAGGCCTATCTTCTCTCTGTCCTAGGAAATGCTCTATTCATGTTTATTCATACATTTTTTTGTTTGTTTCTATTCTTTTGTCTTTGAAATTTCCCTGCTCATCTCATACAGCCAGACCATGCCTTTACTCTGACCCAGATGGCTTATATCCTATGTCCTGGATGTAGCTAAAACCGAGGTCAGCCCTTTTTAATCTATAGTTTAATGTAGCCAGTTTTACGTACCTGGCAAAAACGTTCCTATGTAGGGTTGGGCGTATTTATTCGTACATAAGGAGTATATGTTCCTTCCCTGCACCCTTCTCCCTGTGGTTCTAACATAGCAGTCTAGAGAGCTACTAGTAGTTGGTGAGTACCAGGAACAGTGCCCGGCACACAGCAGGCTCTCAGTAACTATATGCCGAATGAGCGCATCAGCACTGAAGATGAAACCTATTTGATGTTCCCTTCTTTTTAAAGCACTATCATGGCTTTTCATAACATGTGGCACATAACAATAATTGTGTGTTGAATTTAATTCAGTTTTATCTTACTTCATGTTTACCTGGGTTTTAACTGAGCACATACATTCTTTTGTGGGAAGATGCACTGCCAGTACAGAATAGTCTTGATGCTAGAATTTGTCACAGGCAGAGCCCCAGCAGTATTCGGCCATTTCAGGCACAAGCATCTTTTATTACTGACAGCTTTTTTCCAGCTACCACTCCTGCCCCTTCACTGGTTGCTCACCGTCTGGCTGGCTGCGTGTCAGCCCAGGAGATTGCGCTCGCTCTGACCGCGGAGTGCCACTGCACGTCGCCACCTCCTGTCACCGACGCAGAGGGCAGCTTCGTGGCGCAGAGTAGTGGTCTGCCCAGAGCAGCTTCATTACCTGGACATGTTTAAAATGTCCCAGAAGGCCATAGGAATTATAAAATTATAAACTGTCCTTTTTGGGGGGTTAAACTTTGAATTCTCTTTAAATCTATTCACTCAATTTTAAAAATAGAGACGTTTCATATTTTTGGAAACCATATAGGATTTTTTTTGAGGGTTTGGTACATTTTTCTTATGACAAGATTTAATAAAATATGTATCTAATAATGTGACTTGAATAAGACTATGGCTTTTGCCCAAACCTTGTAAGTTCATGAAACATTTTAAAGAGAACAATGACCTGAGGGAAGAGCTAGATTTTCCTTAAGACTTTTGTTCTTATCAGGACATATAATGCTCAAAAGTGACACAGCATGGAACATGGGTTTCAATGAAGAAAAGTACTTCAGAATCAAACCTTAGAAGGCCATTTGGGAGCTTACTGGCCTGACCAAAGGAATTAAAAAAATCTAGAGGCTGTTTGTTTGTTTGTTTGTTTTTAAATAATACATAGAAAGTAGAGTAACCTGATTTTACTTTTGGTTATTATTTAGTGTTGCCTGTGACTTATTTGTTCATATTAAGAAGAAGGTATTGAGTGGTCACAGGACTTTAGAGGAAATTTTTTTTCTAGACTTAGGGTTTTTGTTTGTTTGTTTGTTTCACTTTATAACGCTTCTCTCTCTTATTTAAAAATAACATACTTTTCAATTATAGTGTGTTAATTGCATTCATTTAAATTAGAGTTCTTATCCTTTTCCCCCTTTCTCTTTTAGGACTTGAACCAATGAAAGAAGCTTATGGCACTTAAGAAGATAAATGTCACTCTTGCCTTTTAAATTGGAACTTCTGCTTAGGACCTGTATATGACTTTTCATTTGTGATCTGTTCTTTCAGTAGCCACTGACTTTGAGTTGCAGGAAGGTCTCTGAAGATTCATATCAAATGACGTCAATGGCCAGCTTGTTTTCTTTTACTAGTCCAGCAGTAAAGCGATTGTTGGGCTGGAAGCAAGGTGATGAAGAGGAGAAATGGGCAGAAAAGGCAGTCGATGCTTTGGTGAAAAAGTTAAAAAAGAAAAAGGGTGCCATGGAGGAGCTGGAGAAAGCCTTGAGCAGTCCGGGACAGCCGAGCAAATGTGTCACAATCCCCAGGTCTTTAGATGGACGCCTGCAGGTTTCTCACAGAAAAGGCTTACCCCATGTGATATATTGTCGTGTTTGGCGCTGGCCTGATCTGCAGAGTCATCATGAGCTAAAACCATTGGATATTTGTGAATTTCCTTTTGGATCCAAGCAAAAAGAAGTTTGTATCAACCCATACCACTATAAGAGAGTGGAGAGTCCAGGTAGGTTTTACTCCCTTGAGAAGAATTTAGAAAACATCTTTCTTCCTGATTTGCATTTAGCTGGATCTAGTAATTAAAAGGTTATATTATTGTTTTCCTTCTTAAAGATTTTAATCTCGGAAGGAATGCTGGATTTTGAATTCAGCTTTTTATGTGTAGATGAAGTATTTTTCATTTCTACCAGAACATTTGTGACAGGGTATAAGCATGTCATAATACTGCTTATCCTAAAATGAAAGTTAAAGAGTTCCCTTCTTGACCTCATTTATACCTCCTCGCACCCAATTTTCTGCACTGTTTCCTCTAGTTCTTTTAGAGCAGTCTCCAGTTTTATTATCTTCCCATTACTTCCCTCCCAGCCTTCGTGGACACCCCTGCAGTCAGTCTTCCTTCCCAGCGCCTGACGTGGCGGGATCACGAGCGACTGCCTTCTTGCAGGTGCAGGTGCAGGGGCGTTCTCTGTCATCCTCCGGTTTGCCCTCCCGGCGTCATTTGGTGCAGTTGCTCTCCTTCCCCCGCCTCAAGACTTTTTCTCGGTTGGCTTCTGAAACACTGCAGTTTCCTGGTTCTCATACCTTACTGGCTGTTTTTGCCTAGGCTGTTTGTGGGTTTATTTTCCTGTTTTCACAGGACTCCTTCCCTGGACAATTTCTCCATCTATATCTTTCTTCTCTGTGCTCTCATGCTGTCACATGCCTTAGAACCTTCTATAAGCTCGAGCTAACATTTAGAACCTCAGAGTGAACTTTCCTTTTGAGATTTAGACTTTTGTGTCCAGCTGCCTACTTGATACCTCCACTTGAGTATGTCCAATAAACGTATCATATTTAATGTCTAAATAGGACTTTTGATTTTTTTCCCCACCAAGTCATTTTTCCCCTCATTTTCCTTATTGAAATAAATGGCACCAATATTTATATAATTGCTAGCTGGAAGTCCTCTCTTCTTTCTCTCCCTTAACTCCTGTTTTTGAGCTATGAATGCGCAAATGCTGTTCGCGGGGCCTTCGGAATGTGTCTTGGTCATCCCATCTCCCGCCATCGCTAACGCCGCTGCTTCGGTGCAGAGCAGCAGCATCTTTCACCTTCAGCGGTCTTTCCGTTGGCCTCTCTTCCTCTTTTTATCCCTCTCCAACCCATTCTGTTTTCTACAGCCAGAGTGATATTTAAAAATATGAATCAAATCATGTCAGCCCCTGCTTAAAATACTTTAAAGGCTCTCTATCACACTTTGAACAGATTTCTACAAGACCTACATGACCTGCCAGGCTTCCTCTGGTCTTTGAACTTGCCACACTCCTGCATCATAGACTTTTTTCTTGCTGTTTCCTCTACTTGAGTACTGTTCTCCCAGGACCTTTTTATGGCACATTTTCTCACTCTGTTCCATTCTTGCTCAGATACCCCCTTCATTACTTGATGCTATGTTAGATATTTACTTTGTTTATTGACTGAAGTGAGTAGGCCCTCCCCTGTCTCATTCTGTGCTGCCTCCCCAGTGCCTAGAGCAGTAGTATTACCTGATGCTTTATAGTGATGCTCAGTAAATAATTTTTTGTAATGAATGAACTGTATATGTGGAGGTGCTAGTTGGCTACATTAGTTATCTGTTGCTGCGTAACAAAAACTGGCTTAACACACATTTACTATCTCACAGTTTTGGTGGGTCAGGAGCCCAGGCCCCCCTTAACTGGGTCCTTTGTAATGCTGTAAGCAAAGTGTTGGTCAGGACTTGGGTCTCACCTGAGTTTCAGTTGGGGAAGGATCTGCTTGCCAGTTCAAATGATTGTTGAAAGGATTCAGTCCCTCACAGGCTGCTGGATTCTTGCTCGTTGTCAACGGGAGGCTGCCTTCGTTTGTTTGCCACTTGACCTCTTCATAGGTAGTTCACATACATGGCAATTTACTTCTTCAAAACCAGTAAGAAAAATAGGGTCTTCTTGCTAGAAAGGTATTATATTCTTATGGAATGTTACCACATACATTCTATCACTTTTGCCATATTCTGTTGGTTAGAAGCAAATTGCAGGTAATACACTCAAAGAGAGAGGATTTCACAAGAATGGTACACAGCGGTGGGAACCATGGTGGTCACCTTGGAGTCTGTGTGCCACACTGGGTTTCCCATGGAGGTGGTGTCCACCCAGCATGGTAAAAAGGCTGCGGAAATGACGGTGGAAGTGGAGACCAGCAGGAACAATAGCAGTGGTGGTGCTGTCAGGGAAAGTCCAGTTTAAAGGCTTTAGAGCGGCCGATCGGTATCTGAGGTGATTCCTAGTTTCATACTGAATCCAAGGAGATCTGTAGCCTTAAGGAATTGACAAAGAAAGGAAGGTGTGAGGAGTTAACAGGGAAATGTAGTCTGAAAAGTTCCCTAGCTTGATATAGCCACGAGTTGCTTGTCTAGGAATTTAGTGTATTTCCATTGCCAGATTGTGATTTATAATCTCCCAATAGAAATGTCTAATTTTTTTAATAATCCATTTTCTCAGCCATGATTCATTCTGTAGAGAAAACTAGGGCACAGCTCTGGTATGCTTAAAGCAAGTGAAGGATCTATTATATAGCATGGATCACTTTATGGTTCGAGTATTAATATGGTAGTAGTAGTAACTGTAATAGTAATGAACATTTATTGTGCACTATGGACCAGGCATTTTTCTATTACTATGAGGTTATTTCTTCACAAGGTTAGAAAATGGTACTAACATTTTAAAACTTAGTAAGTTTACAGATAAGGAAACCAAGGGAAATAGGTGATACAAGATCACATTGCTAATATATAGTGGAGTGAGAAAGTACCACAAAAAAAAATTAAAATGATGGAAGATAGCTGGGAAGGCAAACAGGTGTCTTTTCCAACCCAGGTGGCCCTCTGTTTGTTCTAATAGGCAGTGTTTCGTAGTGGTTAAGATGGCTCTGGAACCAGACTTTCTGGGTTTGAATTTTAATTTTATCAGTATATTAATGTGACTGCAGGCAAGTTACGTAACCATTCTGTGACTTACAGTTTCCTCATCTGTAAAACAGGAGTAATAATATCTGCCCTATGGTTTTGTTGTGAGGATTAGATGAGTTAATGCTTGAAAAGTGCTTAGATTAAAACATAAACTGGTTCAGAATGAGCTTCAAGTTAAATATTGTAATAAAATAATAATCCTGGAAATAGAGCATGGGGAAAATGGCAGAGAGAAAATTATTAAAGGAATACTGCTAGAAAAAATTCCAGTTTCCAGAACTAAAAATTGAAAGGGCCCACCAACTGAATAACCAGATGAGGGATAAAAAAAGGCCCATACATGAATTTGTAGTATATCATGGATAAAAAAATATTCTGAAAGCTCCTAGAGAGAAAATACAGAACACGTACACAGGATTGCAAATGAGAATATTGTATTTCCAATACAATTTTGAAGTCTAGAAGAAAACAAAGCATTGGCTCCCAGATTCAGAGACAAAAAGTTATGTATTCTGGAACCTGTGTGCAGCCCAACAAAAGGCAAAACTTACTGTATGTGCAAGGGCTCAAAATTTATCTTCCTTATACGCCATTCTTCAGGAGGATAATGAGCGAGGGGGGAGTTCAGGAAATGAGACCCAACAGGAGAGAAGGGCAGGGAAGTCCAAGGACTTCTGATGTGTAGGAGGCTTTAGCAGCAGCCAGGGTAGATTTTAGCAAAAGGTTGGATGACCCAGGGGAAAACATGGAATCAGTAGAGTTTTTTGTTTATTTGTGGTATCTAGAATATAGTATCAGTAAGTATTTGACAGGTCTGTTGGACTTCTGGGAAAGGAACAAGGCAATAATTAACTGTAGTAAAAGCACTGTTCAGGGGAAAATATAATCATAGTACATACTTAGCTCAACAATGAATAATCTTTATAATATTAACATTGGATATTAATTTAACCAAAAATTTTGAATGTAACTTTATTGTGGAGAAGGGGAATGGGATAGAATGATACAAGAAAGCCACTTCATTAGCCATAATAGCAAGTCTACAAATAATGTCTTAAAATCAATTATAGTAATATAAACATATTATTTAACAGTATATGAAGTATTAGAAAAAAATGGTTAAGAGTTTATATTTTTTTTGTCTCTGGAAGCAGTATGGAAGGAGGCTTAGAAGTTGCTGTTTTTGTTATAATCTGTTATATTATCTGTCTTTTTAAGCTATCCGTGTATTTTTGGGGGGTAAAAATAAAATAATTAATAAAAAATGTGTATAGATACACAAGTAAAAAAAGAAATCAGTGATTTTAGGTCTGTTTAAAAAAAAAAAAAGTAAAGAAGTTCTCAGTGGATTACATTCCTAAGTAGTTATTTTACCAAGCCTCTCAGATTTGCTAGCTGGCTAGACAGAGAAACCCTTGCTGTCTGATGTGTCCCTGTTCTCCAGTGGCAGCTGTCCCGTCATGGTAGGAGGGGGCAGCAGTTGTAATACACAGTAGAATAAAAGAATGGTAAACAGACATGAACCACATAATTACAACACGAGTTCAGTAAAATAAAAACAGACCAAAAAAACCCCAATACAAATAAGAGCCTTTTGATTCCCCAGGTCCCTACTGCTTCTGGGAGGGGACGTATAGTTAACCTAAGAACAGATTGGTTTTATTGATGCTGAATGACGTCAGAGTCAAAGAGATTTTCAGAAATGAAATTACATCGACAAATATAGGAAAGTTGTAAAGGAAATGAGTTGGTTCAGTAAGAGTTTAAAGAAATTGGTCTGTTTCTGTTTCGTATGGGACAAGGCAATCAGATTGCCTCTATGTGATTGATCACTTGGGTCTTTAGAGAAAGTAACATTTGAATAAAGCTTATCTTAAAAAAAAGTATCTCTTAAGATGTTTGGGCTTTGTTGTGTATATTTTCATTATGGTCATGTTTAGAAAATTGATTTTGAATCAAGACTCTTACATGGGAAAACTTTTGAGCGGGGAAAACTTTACCAAAGAACATAAAATGTGAGACCTCTCAAACTGAAAAACATGAAATGTTTAAAATTGGAAACATGGAGGCTTCCAGGACATCTGTAGAGCTGGCCTCAACTTTAGCCTCTGCTCCCGGCTTCCTAGTTCAGTGGCTAGACCAGCTGTTTAGCCTCTCTTATCTCCAGCCTGGAATCTCCCCGTCTCCTCCTGGATTCTCCCCGCCCTTGGCACTCCCATGTGAAATCTTCCTAGTTCTTTAAGGCCCACTCAGATATTGTCTTTTCCACAACATTTTGTTTGATTCTTTGCCAGCTGGGAGTACTCACCTTTGTTGCACTCTCATTGCATTAAACTTTTCTGTATTATTGTTGTTTTAAAATATGTCTTATCTCTTATAGAACAGGAGTGGTATGTTTTCTGGGTTTTCTGTCTTCCAGAGTACTTTATACATGCTAGACGCTAAATGCTTAGAGTTTTGGGGTTAGTTATTGTGTACATAGATTCAAGGTTCTACAAAGCAGACCTCCCTAAAAGTGAATTAATAGGTGTATAGTCTTACCTGAATCCTTTCTGTGTATCCCTTAATATGCATGGAATATTCACTTTTAGTCATTGCTGACAGATGACTTTTAATTTTTGTCTTTCAGTCTTACCTCCAGTATTAGTGCCTCGTCATAATGAATTCAATCCACAACACAGCCTTCTGGTTCAGTTTAGAAACCTGAGCCACAATGAACCGCACATGCCACAAAATGCAACTTTTCCAGATTCTTTCCACCAGCCCAACAACACTCCTTTTCCCTTATCTCCAAATAGCCCCTATCCCCCTTCCCCTGCTAGCAGCACCTATCCCAACTCCCCAGCAAGTTCTGGACCAGGAAGTCCATTTCAGCTGCCAGGTAAGACTTGATTTTATTGATACAAAGTATGAGTCCCTGAGAATCAGCAATTGTTCTCATACTGCTGGCCCTTTGGGCGAACTGTTACATGCCAAGAACTGGCTACTTAGACTCTATATTCTTTGGTAATTATTTGATTTACAGAAGAGTATTGGATTTTGTTTTGCTAGATACCATATGTTTAAATATTTTAATATAGTTTAGAATACTAAATACCATTATTGAGTGACTTCTATAACTGATACTGTGGTGAAAGATACTGCATTAAATTTAATCTTCAGAACAGCATGTAAGGTAGATATTCCTGTTTTAGAGGTGGAAAAATAAATTGATTCCTACTCCAAAAGTTTAAGCACCTTGCTTAAAGTCACACAGCTAATAAATGGGGGTTTAGACCCAACTTTCTTTGACCTCAAAGTCGGTGCTGTTTTAACTTTACTACTTTGTTTGTCAAATCATTTTAGATTTTGGAAGGTTAAACTGAATTCCAGTTATCTTTCAATAGATAACTGATGAGCTGATTTGCCTGGAGAAGGATAAGAATGACTTACCAAGTTTCTAATTTTTGTTGATGTCATGTCATGTGTGGACACATGCTTTGTCACTGTCAGATATCTGAATGCCTGTTGCAGGCAGAGTCATATTAGATTCTCTGTGGCTTCTTGGTGGCAAAATATCATTTGATGCTGAGGGGGTTTTCCTTGTTTTTTGATTTTTTTGAAGAGGAATTAAGCACCAACTGTTTAACTTGCTGGTAGGTATTTGCTCAAAAGCTAATTTTTATACTTCGTCTTAGATTTAGTTCTGATTGTAGCTCTGTCTGAAAATGTATCTTGTACAAACCTTGGGGTGGAGGACAAATTATGTTCAGTATTTATAGTTACTGAGACAAAGAAGTATAGCTGGAGCTTTTGTGAGGAATTTCAACCATGAGTGTTGGAACTCAGAAGATTTTCTGGTTAATACTCAGTTTCCTGAGAGAATTATCTAGCTATTTAATGGGACAAAACAGCCATTTTGGGATGTTGCAAAAAATTAGATAAACTGCTCTTAGTGTTGACAGCAAATTTTGAAGGAGCATAGCTTTATTTTCCAGTTTTAAATGACAATGTATAGTATGTGATGAGTTTGATCATTTAAAAGTGTGTCTGTAGATATGTATGTGGACTATGATAATCGTGTCCTTCAGATTGACTTCTAGGAGTTGCAGTTTTTCTGAGCATATGATTTCAAGCAAATAAAGGCAAAATACTTGACTTTGAATTCTATCCTAGTGAATTTTAGCACTGCCCTTACTGTCCTGGATTGTCCAAAATACATGTGGACTTAACAGTGGTTTTCAGTAGCGAAAGGCTGTGAGTTTTCCTTTTCTCTTGCCCTAAGATAGCACCCTGCTTCTTGATGCGTCTGTGATACTCAGTTGTGGACCCTGCTGAAAACCATGAATTTAAAAATGCTTTTACAGTGACTTTGAGCAGGATGAAGACTGTAACTAGTCTTCTGGGTCTTTTAATTTGTCTCATTTTCTTCCTCTTAGCTGATACTCCTCCTCCCGCCTATATGCCACCAGATGATCAGTTGGGTCAAGATAATTCCCAGCCCATGGATACAAGCAATAATATGATTCCTCAGATTATGCCCAGTATATCCAGCAGAGGTAAGAGAAATACTCTCCATGTTAATTATGCTGTTTTTACTTTGTTGTTTCTTTGCTTCTTTTTAACTTCTTGACCGCTTTTTAAAAATAGCTTTATTGAGGTATAATTTCTATACCATGACATTTATCCATTTTAGGTGTACGATTCATTGATTTTTGTAAATGTATAAAGTTTTACATCATCACCATAACGTAGTTTTAGAACATTTCCATAACCCTTTAAAAATATCCCTTGTGAGTATTTTGTAGCCTAGCTTCACTCCCAAACCCATTTTCAAAGACCTTCAATTCTATTTTCTATATCTATAGACTTGCCTTTTTTGAACATTTCATGTAAATAGAATCACATTTTGCGTAGCATCTTTTACGTCTTTTACGTAGCATCATATTTTCAAGGTTCATCCATGTTGTTGCATGTATCAATAGTTCCTTTTTATTGTTGAACAAATATTCCATTATATGATGTACCACATTTTGTTTATCCATTCACCAGTTGATGGGCATTTTAATTGTTTCCAGTTTTGGGTTAGTATAAACAATGTTGTTGTGAACATTCGCCTGTAAGTCTTTGTGTGGACACTGGTTTTCTTGGATAGATAACCTACCTAAGAGTAGAATTTCTGAGTCATATGATAAGTTAACTGTTTAAGACTAACTGCCAAGTTTCTCCAAATGGCAGTACCATTTTTCCATTCTTACTCCTAACACTTGTTATTTTCTTTATTGTTACTATTATTAGTATAGCCATTTTACTGTGGTGTAAAATCCTATATTATTGCGGTTTTAATTTGCATTTTTCTAATGAATAATGATGTTGAACATATTTATGTACTCATTGACCATTCATGTATCTTCTTTGGTGAAATGTTTATTCAGATCTTTTGTCCACTTTCAAATTGCATTGCCTGTCTTATTATTGAGTTGTAATTGTTCTTTATATATCCTGGATAGAACTCCTGTATCAGATATATGATTTGCAAGTATTTTCTCAGTCTGTGGATTGTCTTTTTATCTTCTTAATGATATCTTTTGAAGTATAGAAGTTTTTAATTTTGATAAAGTCCAGTTTAACAATGTATTTCTTTTTCTGTTGTTCCATCTAAGAAATTTTTGTCTATCCCAAGGTCATGAAAATTTTCCTAATGTGTTTTCTTCTAAAAGTTCTATAGCTTTAGTTCTTACATTTAGGTGTACGATTCCTATTAAGTTTTTTGTATGGTAAAGGTCTACATTCATCTTTGTGCATATAGCTCTGTGGTTGGTTCTAGCAGTCACTGTTTGTGGAAAAGAGCATTCTCCATTGAATTGTTTTGGCATCAGAAATCAGTTGACCGTAAGAGTTAGCACTTATTTCAGGACCCTCAGTTATATTCATTGATCTGTGTATCTATACTTCATAGTCTTGATTATTAAAACTATATGTGAGTTTTGAAAACAGGAAGCATGAGTTCTCCAACTTTATTTTTTTTAAATTGTCACCCAAGGATATGTTTATTGTTTTTTAGAGAGAGGAAGCAAGAGAAGGGGGGAGAGAGAGAGAGAGAGAGAGAGAAACATTAATTGGTTGCCTCCCATATGAGCCCCAACTGGGGATCAAACACACAACCTAGGCATATGCCCTGACCCTGGAATTAAACCCACAACCTTTTGGTGTACAGGACAATGCTCCAACCAATTGAACCACCTGTCCAGGGCCAACCTTGTTATTTTTTAACATTTTTGGCTATTCTGTTTTCTTTGCATTTCTGTATCATTTTAGTAGCAGTTTCTCAAATTCATTCCTTAAAAAAAAACCCTCTTTGGATTTTGATAGAGTTCATATTGAATCTCTAAATTTAGGGTGATCTACTATCACCTTCCAGTGCATGAATGTGGAGTCTTTACATTCATTTAGATTTCCATTTTCAGTATAAAAGCCTTTTATATCTGCTTCTCTTTTTAAATTTATTTCTATGTGATTGAAATTTGTTTAATTTCATGTTTGGATTATTCTTTTTCATGTATAGGATTACAATTGATTTTTATATATTAATCTTTTAATTTGCAACCTTGTTGAATTCAATGATTATTTCTAGAGGTAGGTTTTTATGTGTGCATATGTCGATTCCTTAGAGTCATCTGATAAAAAACACTACTTTTTCCTGTCCAACCTAGATGGCTTTAACTTCTCTCTCTCATTATTATTAAAGGGCACATATGAAAAACCTACAGCTATCCTCATACTTAATGATAAAAGACTAAATTGCTTTCCCCTAGAATTGAAACTACACAAGGATGTCTATCTCCTCTTTCTTCTATTCGGCATTGTTCTGGAGGGCCTAACCAGTAAATTAATAGTTCCCTTTCATTCCTAGTTTCTTGGCAAGTTTTGTCATGAATGGATGTTGAATTTTGTTAGAAGCCTTTTCTGACTCTTCATAGAGTTTTCTGTTATTTTTTCTAGTAAGAAGGTATATTACATGAACTGATTTCTGATGTTAAACCAGCTTTAAAATCCAGGAATAAATCCCACGTGGTCAGTGTGTATAGCCCTTTCTCATGTATTGCTGTGTTAGGTTTACTGACATTTTGTTGAGTATTTCTGCCTCTACATTCATACGTGATACTGGTCTGCAGTTTCTAGTGGTGTCTTGGTTTGACATTGGGATCAGGATGATAATGTCTCATGGGAGGAAATGGGAAGTATTTCCTCCTATTTTTAGAAGAGTTTGTAAAATATTGGTATTATTTCTTCTTTAAATATTTGATAAAATTTATTAGTGAAGCCATTTGTGCTTGGACTTTTCCTTGTGGGAAGATTTTTTAAAACTGATTCAATTTTTTTGATTGTTATATATGGGTCTATTCAGGGTCATTTTTTTTCTTGAGTCAGTTTTTGGTAACTTCTGTCTTTCTAGAAGTTTATTCATTTCATCTAAATTGTCTAATTTGTTGGCATAAAGCTTCTAATTTCTAATTTCTGTAAGAATTGGTAGTTAACGTTTTCATTCCTGAACAAGGATTTCATTGGAAATCTGTATCTTTTGTTTTTTTCTTGGTTGGCTAGTTAAAGGATTGCCATTTCTTTGATCTTTTGAAAAAAATAGCTTTCCTCTTTTTCATTGACTTCCACTCTAATTTCTATTATTTCCTTTTTTCTGCTTACTTTTATAATTTCTTAAGGTGAGATCTTAGGTTATTGATTTGAGTTGCTTCCTCTTTTTTAGCATAGCTGTTCAAAACTATTAATTTCCCTCTAACCGCCCCTTTAGTTGTATCCCATAAATTTGGATATGTTTTATTTTCATTTTTATTCAGTTCAAAATATTTAAAAGTTTCCCTTGTGAATTCTTGTTTGACTCTTGGGTTATTTAGTAGTATGCTAATCAATTTTCAAATATTTCAGAATTCCCCAAATTTCTTTCAGTTGTTAATTCCTAGTTTAATACCATTGTGGGGTATTTAATGTGCTTTGTATGATTTCCATTTTTTAAAAGTTATTACAACTTGTATGCATATTTTTGTACAGCCTGTGACCTAAGATTGGTTTTTAGATTATTAAAGGATTATTAAAGAAAACTATATGACAGAGATAGTGTGTGGCCTGCAAAACCTAAAATGCTTGCGTTTCACTTGCTACATATAATCCTTATTATATGTTGCTGGATTTGGTAAGCAGAAAACATTTGCCAGCATCTGGCAGAGCATATGGTCTACCTTAGAGAATATTCCATGTGCCTTTGAAAAACTTGTATATTTCATTGTCATGGAGTATCATAGGATCTGTGGATTTCAGTTAGACCAAGTTGGTTAATAGTATTACTCAAGTCTTTTGTTTTAATTTATGTCTAATTGTTCTATCAATTTTTGAAAGTGAGAGATTGAAGTTCCCAACTATTACTATTGAATTGTTTATTTCTACTCGAATTCGGTTGGTTTTTGCTTCATGTACTTTGGCGACTCTTGTTAAAGTGTACAGTTCAGTAACAGGAAGTATAACCACCATATTGTGCAACCATCACTATTATCCATTTCTAAACTTCCTTATGATATCAAACAGAACTCTGTACCAATTAAACAACTCCCCATTCTCCCTCCCCATGCCCCTTGGTGACTACCATTTTACTTTCTGTCTTTGTGAATTTGCCTATTCTAGTTCCCTAAGTGTAATCACGTACTATGTATTTGTCCCTTTGTATCTGGCTTACGTTACGTACCATGATGTTTTCAAGGCTTATTCATGTTGTAGCCTGTATCAGAATTTCACTCCTGTTTAAGGCTGAATAATATTCCATTGTATGGATACACACACTTTGTTTATCCATGTATCAGTTGATGGGCATTTGGATTGTTTCTACCTTTTTGCTCTCCTAAATAATGCTGCTATGAACGTTGGTGTTACAGGTATCTATATGAGTCTGCTTTTTAACCGATTCGGTGTTAATGTACGTGGGAGTAGAATTGCTGAATGTTGCAGTAATTCTGTGTTAACTTACTGAGGAGCTGCCCAACTGTTTTCCGTGCTGGCTGCACCATTGACCTTTCCACCGGCCTACATTAGGGCACCAGTTTTTTCACATTCTCGTAAATACTTTGTAAAAAATAATAGCCATCCTAATGGGTATGAAGTGGTACTTGATTGTGGTTTAAAAGCCACTTTATTTTGAGACCCTAAACTCTTTAGTTTGTTGCAAGTTTAAAAGTAAGATACTGGCATTTTATACATTTCTTAGAAGAGGGGTGTTTTTTGTTTGTGTTATACTTACTTGTGATAATACCAAAAGACTGTCATGTCACAGTAGGGTTTTCCAGGAGCCCCATGTTTCTGAAAACAGTTAAGTTTCTGGCTCCCCAATAGTCCTGTTAATGTCTTTGGTTTTTCAAGATTTAGAATTTACCTAGGAATTTTGTTATACTAATTTGCTTGTAATTCATAGACTACCTTCATTTAGAACAAAATATCTCAGAACATGAATTTCTGGATCTCTACTTATTTGCTCTGCAACTTAGGGTAGCTTTTT